CTGTCGACGGGAATGGTGGCCTCCGGGCGTTGCTGTTCAGAACACGCAGTATCAAACGCGCGTGACACTAGCTACCCGGCGGCGGTGGTGGCGATTGGTGGAGTCAGGAGTGTAATGATGACGACGACGACGGAGACGTCCAAGTACTCCAAGTTACACCGCGGTGAACGGCGTGAATCTGTGTTCCGTTCACGTGGAGGCTACTTCAGGCCAGTTCAGGCTCCTCGACACGCACGCCCGCACGTAGGAAAACCACGCTCACACTCTCTCTCTCTCCCCCCCCCTCCCCCCCTCTGTCTTTATTCGTTAGTGTCGTTAGTCGCGCGAGGCGAGGCGCGATCTCTCTCTCTCTCTCTCTCTCTCTCTCTTTCTCTCTCTCTCTCTCCATCTATCTATCTATCTATCTATCTATCTATCTATCTATTTTTCTCTCTCTTTCCCCCCTTTCCTTCGACGCGACGTCTCCGGCGATACGGCCGGCGCAAGAGACAGGGACGACAGAAGGAGAGCGAGAGAGGGAGGGAGAGACGGAAGGAGAGAGAGCGAGAGAGATATGTATACGCGAATCTGATTTGTTAGTTGAGGAACAGGGACACGGCGCGTGTTGCACGTAAAATGCACGACCTCGCTTCGTTTTGTCTCGCTTCCTCGACGCGAATCAAATCTTTATTCCACCGATATATACGACGACGCACGACGGCGAGGCGTTGAAATAGATTGACTCCAGAGAGACTGATCGGCGGCACTAATTGGCCGAAAAAGGGAAAACCTTGCCACGCGTTCGTGACTTCCTCTTTGCGCTTTTCGTCGATGTGAGTCCCTCTTCTCCTCACTCTCATATAAATCTTGTCCTCGACAAATCTTTTTTCGTAAGAGCCATTTTTTCATACTCAGCCCCTCGTCTTCTTTTTTATTTTTGTTTTTTTTCCCCGAGATTCGTGTTCCGATCTCTTTCCCCGCTTCTTCCGTTCCTCTATTCCATCCTCCCTATGCCGCCAACTCCTCGTCGACAATCACGGCAAACAGCGACACTCGAGGAATCCGCACCCTCGCGCTGTCCTTACATACATGCACTCTTACTTTAAGAGCAAGTAATTCTTTTGCGAACAAGCTAGGTCTTTCTCTCGCCACCAGCGCTTCCTCACCGATCCGCGCTTGTCTTTCCTCACTCAAGTATCCCCGAAGAAACCAACTCGCGGCCGAAACCGAAACGTCCGAGGCGAGATGCTCCTGGCTGCTCCTGACAGCCAACATGTCGTCTGCTAGACTACATAAACCACGATCACCAGCCTGCGACGATCCACTGTGCGACCGTGTCGTCAGCCGTGGCGTGCTGTACTATACACTCTGTACAGGCTGTGCTGTTGTGCTGTACAGACAGTACAGACGACTCAGGCATGTGTGCGGAATTCGAAGTGCCTTCTCTGTACTCCGATGTCGGAGTATCATCAAATAGTGTTTATACAGTTTTTTTAGCACGTTCCCAGTGCTAAATTTAGTAATTAAAAGCACTCTTTCACTCTACTTGACTTTTTAAAAAGCATCACGTATATCCGAGAGTAAATAAACCTTAATGTGGAATCCTGTAAACACTGCCCCCTCCCCCTCCGTGTTTTTATATCAATAATCTTTCACTTACTTCATGACCACGAAATTTCTAAGAAACACGATTAATATTCCCAGGTGTTAAAAAATCTAGGAGGCCAATTTTTTATAGAGAGGAAAATGCGCCAAGATTGCTCTCTAGAATACAATACGTTATGTATCTTCGGGCTTCATTCGGTCGGTATGACGGGTATGACGATCGTGCACTTTACGAATACCGACGAAAAATCGATCGGGTCTTTTCGGTCGTCGAGTATCGAAGCGTACAGGTGAGGCCGTCGACGACCCTCCAAGTGTTTGCCAACCACTGGCAATTTACGTGTGCACCTTGTTTTCTTCACGTCAAAATATGCCTTTCAGCATGTAAAATAAAAATTCGTGCGTTTCTAATGGTATTATAAACCAAATCTCAAACTAACGATAACTTTCTTGTTGTTTCATTTAGGTACATTACTCGAATGTAACGTACATACGTATTATTTGTAACGTATTCGAAGAATCTGATTACTAGCAAATTTAGTTAATTTTTCCCCAAATTTTCCGCATAATTTTAATTAGCACTAATAGAAATTGACAAGATCAGAAGAAAAGGATTTTATTTCACACAATTTCTCGCAATACACTTGTGTACTACACAATAAATAATTTGTGCATCAATAGTGCAAGCAAATCAAATGTCTTTACTTTCGACACATTAAATAAGCATTTTCAAATCAATGCGCAATCAATTTAAATGCATTGTTTCTATTAGGGAAAACTATCAACGTTCTCACTAAACCAATCTAATTTAATAATACTTGGATACACGTCGGAAACGCTCTTCTACGAAAATAAAAATATAACTACAAAGATTAATATACTAGTTTTCGATAAAAACTATTATATCTGTATAATATATATATTTGTATGTTACAATCAATAAAATAAATATTTTAATGATGTCAACAATTCATTATTCGGCAAATGTTTAAAATTCCTTTTTTGTTATTTTCATATGTATATGTAAATATCTCACAGTAAAAGCCACATCTCGCGCGAATACAGCACAAGATACGATCACGTGTGACATATATACATATATATATATATATATA